TCTGAGGGTTTCAGAGTCGGGGCAGGGGTTAGTTGGTCTTGAGACTCGGGCAGCCTTGGGGAATGCCCCTTCCGGTGTGGCAATGGAGGCATTCGAGTCTAGTCCCCTGGCCGAAGCCTCTGGGTCTGACCAGTTGGCTCCCTTCTGTCCGGCTTCTACGGCTGTGCCGGCCTTGTCTGGTGGGGTTGGTGCTTGGGGGGGGGAGGACATGGCCCCGGGTCCTGCTAAGGAGGACCTTGGGGCTGGGGAGGGGCTGACTCTGGGGGTCAGGTAAGGGAGCTTCATGCTCTCCTCCAGCGCAGGGGTTTCTGTTCTTTTGGTCCTGGTGGTAGGTTTGTTTGGTTGCAGCCTTCTCCTTTTCTGGCAAAGAACAAGTTGGTCGCTATCCAGAGGGGTCCTTGGGTCATTGATGCTTGGCTTGTCAGGCCGGAAGTGCTTCATGTGTTGTCCGGTTGCGGCTCTTCGCCATTATGTGCGCGCCTCATCTTCTGTTGCAGGGGATGCACTTTGGGTTGATTCGGTTTCCCTCATCCCTGTTCCAGGGCTCTGGTCTCTTAGGTTGTTCGCTGGGTCATTAAGTCTAGCCAGCCTGCGGTCTATCCTCTTGCCCATGACGTTCGTCAGTTTGTTGCTTTGGCTGCTGTCTTCGGCAACATGTCTTGGGCTGACATTTGGGCGCAGGGATTTTGGAGGTCGAACAGGGTCCTGGCCGCTCATTACAGTAGTACCTCGGGTTACGAACGTCACTGTTTACGAACTTTTTGGGCTATGAGCCTGATTTGCTCAGAAAATTTGAATTGGGATATGAACTTTGCATCGAGATACAAGCTTGTTGATTCGCGTACGGCCGACCTAGCACGTGGTGGCACGGCGATCGTGCCTCAGTTTAACATTGCCTTGCACCCAGTGACTGTCCTACCTGAATTCTTCACAAGAATTTACAGTTTGTCAAATTTTTGGCCATTTGAGCATAACGGTTGTTATTATATATCTCGCCATGGGTCCCAAGAAAGCCAGTGGTAAGGTTCAAGGCAAGAAATCACATGTGAGAATGACTAAAGAGAAAAAACAAAAGATCATTCGTAAGCATGAAAATGGTACTCGTGTTGTTGAACTAGCTAGGCAGTACAACAAATCCATGTCAACGATATGTACTATACTTTCCAAGAAAAAGGACATTGAGTGCTAAAGTTGCAAAAGGAGTATCAACAATTACAAAACAAAGACCACAAATACTTGAAGATGTGGAAAAGTTGTTATTAATTTGGATTCACAACAAGGAGTTAGTGGGTGTTAGTGTTTCAGAGGCCATCATTTGTGAGAAAGCCAGGGTATTACACGAAGACCTTGTAAAGAAAACCCCTGGAACAAGTGCAGATACAAAAGACTTTAAGGCAAGCAGGGGATGGTTTGACAAATTTAGAAAAAGAAGTGGTATGCATAGTGTTGTGAGGCATGGGGAGGGTGCCAGCTCAGACAAACCAGCGGCTGAAAGATTTATTGAAGAATTTAAAGATTTTGCAGAGGCTGAGGGATACCTTCTGCAGCAAGTCGGTCGGAGCCGGTCGGCTGAGCGGACAGCACGCTGGACTTGTGATCCTGTGGTCCTGGGTTCGATCCCAGGCGCCGGCGAGAAACAATGGGCAGAGTTTCTTTCACCCTATGCCCCTGTTACCTAGTAGTAAATAAGTACCTGGGTGTTAGTCAGCTGTCACGGGCTGCTTCCTGGGGGTGGAAGCCTGGTCGAGGACCGAGCCGCAGGGACACTAAAAATCCCCGAAATCATCTCCAGATAACCTCCAGAAGTGTTTAATTGTGATGAGACAGGACTGTTCTGGAAAAGATTGCCTAAGAGGACATACATTGCCAAGGAGGAGAAGTCATTGCCCAGACACAAGCCTATGAAAGATAGGTTTACGCTTGTGCTGTGTGGAAATGCGAGTGGTGATTTGAAAATTAAACCCTTGCTTGTGTATCATTCTGAAAATCCAAGGGTTTTCAAAAAGTATGGTGTGCAGAAAAACCAAATTTGTGTGATGTGGAGGGCTAATAATAAGGCATGGGTGACTAGGATTTTTTTTACGGAGTGGGTGAATGATATGGTGTGCCCTGCCATACAAAATATCTGCAGGAGAAAAGTTTGCCACTCAAGGCCCTGCTTCTCCTTGACAATGCTCCTGCTCATCTTCCAGGCTTGGAAAATGAATTGTTGAACAGATACAGTAATTTTCTCACAGTAAAGTTCCTTCCTCCTAACACCACTCCTCTTATTCAGCCTATGGACCAGAAAATCATAGCAAATTTTAGGAAACTTTATGAAAGGGCACTTTTCCGGAAATGTTTTGAAGTGACTGAAGCCACACACCTCACCCTCAAAGAGTTCTGGAGAGAGCATTTTAACATTTGTAGTGCTTTAAAACTCGTTGACAAAGCCTGGCAAGAAGTGACTCAAAGAACCCTGATCTCTAGCGGGAGAAAATTGTGACCTGAATGTGTGTCAGAACTAGACTTTGAGGGGTTTGAGCCTGTAAATGATGCGCCTATTGTTGAGGAAATTGTTACTCTGGGCTGGAAAATGGGCTTGGATGGTGCTGATGTGGAGCAGTTGATGGAAGAACAAAAAGAAGAACTGACCACCGAAGAACTCTAAGCGCTTGAAAAGGAGCATCAACAAGAGGCAGCTGAGGATATTTCTTCAGAGGAGGATGAGGCAGAAGAGAATATTTCTTCCTCAACAATTAGAAAGTGGTGTCAGATGTGGGAAGAAATACAAACTTTTATTGAAAAGACTCACCCAGAGAAAGCTGTAGAAGGCCGTTGCATTAATCTTTTCAATGACAATGTGATGCCTCATTACAGACAAATGTTGCGAAGAAGGGAAAACAATCTTTAGTGGATCGTTTCATTGTGAGAAAATCAAGCAGTGAGCCACAACCAGGACCTAGTGGTATGCAGGCAAAATGTGCCAGAAAGTTCACTCCAGAAAAATCTTCACTGCCTGATGTTATCATGGAAGGGGACTTCCCTTCCTAACAGTAACACCTCTCCCCCCCCCCCCCTCCTCACCATCTTCCATACGCCAACAGGAGTCATCAGCAAGGGTAAGGGGTAAGTAATAACTGGAACATACTTTTGTAGTGAAGTTTTGGGTGAATTAGTATAAAATTTACTTTGAAGTGAAGTTTTTGGGGAGTCGAATGGATTAATTCATTTCCCATTATTTTTTATGGGGAAATTTGCTTCGGTTTATGAATTTTCGGGTTACGAACCATCTCCAGGAACAGATTAGATTCTTAAACCGAGGTACCCCGGTATTTAGTTGACATTCCTGGTCTTGGGTGTTCATGTGTGGCTTTGGGTCGCAGGTTGCAGGCTTGACTTCGCGTTGAGATGCGTGTGGTGGCCACCTCCCAGGTAAGTCCCTCTTTTACTTATCTTGGGTTATGTAGCTCTAGGGAACCTCGGGAGCTCCCCATAGGAAATTAGCATTGAAAGTAATGAAACACAATTTTCTGGGTGATCCCCAGAGGCTCCCTGGCACCCTTCCTCCCTCCGGTCGGCGGTTTCATTTTACTTTTGATGCTTAGCCTCCGAACTGGGGTCGAGTAGCCGGTGCAGTGGGTCCGGGGCTCCCCCCCCCCTCCCCTCCCAAGAAGAGGGGGGGTTATCTTGAGATGATTTCGCGGCTTTTAGTGTCCTCGCGGCCCCACGGATTGGCCCGACAAGCGGCACAGTGGTGGTGTATGACGTTTGATTGTTTCCTTGAGAATTAGGCGAGTTCTGCCTCCCTGTTCAGTCTTTGGTTCCAATTTTCTTACCAAGTGGAGTGTGTTTTGTTATACCTACATTTCTGGGTGCCTAACCCCAGTCGATGGCAAATTAGGAATACCCCAACCACAGGGAGGTTTCCAGGGGACATTGCTCCCTGTGCCTCTCTGAGGGGGCCAGGTTTTGGCTCATGGTCCCTGGTAGGCTGAACTCCATTGACTAATGCCTTAGACTAATATGTCACATTAGCCTGATTGCTTCCGGGAGCCTCAGAGGGTCACCCAGAAAATGGCATTTCATTACATTCAATGTTTTTTTTTTTTTTTTTTACTTCTTTAAGAATTTGACTGATCTGAATGTCTGGCTTATTTGGCAGGGGTTCCTTGCCAAATAATTCAGATAAGTGAGCTTAGACAGTAATTGCCTAAGTGTAATTACAGGATGAGAGATATGCTTGTGGTGTCTTGTCTTCCTGGCACTGTCACATAACAATTTGAAACTGGTGCAGGCAAACCCAATACTACCTTCTCACTTGTATCAACCAATTACCACTCTGTGAAATTTAATTTTCTTATATGTGTAGGTTTGGTTATGCTACTGAATTTAGTTCAGTAAAATTATAAAGTAAGCATTGCCACTTCATTGGAGATTTGAATCTTGGCATAAATATTTCCTAATTTGGATGAGTGACTAATGGGGTAGAGGAAAGATAAATGAGCAGTAGTAAATTAATTTTAGTTTACTAGCAATTAGTGTAGATATAATAGATTGAAAATAACATCTGAGAATGATTACTGTACATAATGGGATGTGGCAAACAAAAGTCATTGTGATAAGAGCCTCGATTCCTATTTGCATGGGGAGTGGTGCCACTGCATTTTCTGTTTGGAGAAGCTGAAGATAGTGAGCACACACAGAAATCACAATAGTGTGAGATACATCAAATGAATAAATCTTTTGACCGCGTCGTGGCGCAATTGACTAAGGCGCATCTGGGATCATCCCGGACGTAGGTTCAAACCCTACGAACGAGGCTGGCAAAGAGTTGCCAGCCTAACCCATCTTTATTGCAGGGAACGTGAGGTTGACAACACTACTGAGTGTTGAGTGTTGGGGTTACCCTTCTGCAAGGGACAGTGAGGCAGGTTATATTGAGTAGATTGCAAACTATGAATGGACAGGCAGTAATGAAGCTTAAGGACAGTGCATAATTTTATGTTTTTTGTCTGCAGGAATTTCCCTTACGTGGTCAATCATCACTGTTGGGTTGGTATGCACTTTCTACTCTACGCTCGGGGGGATGAAGGCCGTCCTAATAACTGATGTCTTCCAGTCTTTGCTTATGTTTGCTGCAGTATTCTCTGTGATAACACGAGGGGTGATGGACTTTGGTGTTGGGAACATTTTCAAGATTGCAAATGAAGGCAACAGATTAGAGTTTTTCAAGTGAGTTTTGATTACAAGACAAATGTTGAATCATGTTTAACATACATTATAAATATATACAGTATGTTTAAGTATAATGCATACACTATTACATATGTATAATGCTAACTTGTATTATAATGTTAACTAAATTTATATCTTTTATAGCTGTACAGTAATAATTTTTCTGAGGAGAGCCCTTCCGGCTCCCCGGAGCTTACAGGGTTGATATGTATGTATCAGACCGTAACATCAGTCAATTCGATTGGAGTTCTTACCTACTGGGGACCACGAGTCAGAACTTAGCCTCCCTCAGAGAGGCACGAGGAGCAATGGCTCCAGTCAGCAATAGACTGGACCGCGAAGATCTGCTGGAAGAGGCGGAACCGTGGAAAAGTCCCCGGGTTCAGACACTGAGCAAACGGCGCCAACAGCGCCAGAAACCAAGGCTGGGCAAGCTACCGACTGGCCAACAGGACAACTCTTCCTTGGTAAATCTCCAGTCCGAGCCAGAACCCGAAGCAACAATGGAAACGGAGGGAAGAGGCAAAGGTAACTGCACCTCGACTAGTCCTGCCAAAAGGCATCGACCTTTTGGTTGATGTCTTTTCATCCCGACTGAAAAGGCATCCGATGCCTTTTCAGTTGGAGAAGGGCGCCACATACATTGGGAGATGCCTTGACCAAGCCGATGCGAGCAGGTCCACCTCTGGGCACCAGTACGTCCAGCAGAGCCATCTGAACGAGTTGGCATCAACTGTCCAATCTGTGGAAAGGGGAATAAACCAGGATAGGCTATCTGCCAGGATGTTGGACACCTCCTGGATGTGACCGGCCAGGATGTTGGACACCACCTGGATGTGACCCGCCAGGATGTTGGACACCTCCTGGATGTGACCGGCCAGGATGTTGGACACCTCCTGGATGTGACCCGCCAGGATGTTGGACACCTCCTGGATGTGACCGGCCAGGATGTTGGACACCACCTGGATGTGACCCGCCAGGATGTTGGACACCTCCTGGATGTGACCGGCCAGGATGTTGGACACCTCCTGGATGTGACCCGCCAGGATGTTGGACACCTCCTGGATGTGACCTGCCAGGACATTGTACACCTTCTGGATGTGACCCGCCAGGAGAGCCAAACCCCGAGAACTCAGCAGATGAGTCACCCGAAGCGACCAGCCCCAAAGAGCCAAGGACTGCGTCGAACCCCCTCAATTCAGGCAATGAACCATTGAGGCGCAGTTCAAATTGAGCCAGATCGTCATTCCGCGACCGACGTGAACCCTCCGAATTGACAGCCACACAGCTGCGAAGTCCCGCACCTTGCTGTGAGCCTGACGGAAGGACAGACCCCACCGACCCTGGCAGCCCTAGTGAGCACTGGTCAGAAAACCCCCAGCCAAGAGATGCTGCATCCATGTACACATCGAGCGAGGGCTCGGGTAGGTGTTATGGCTCTGAACCCCAAAAGTCCCGAAGAGGAAGCTAGCGATGCAGCAGCTAACACAAGGCGGGTTAGGGGTCCTAAGAGCTGAGTGGACAGCGCTCGGGATTTGTAGTCCTAAGGTTCCAGGTTCGATTCCGGGTGGAGGCAGAAACAGATGAGCAGTTTCTTCACCCTGATGCGTCTGTTCACTTAGCAGTGTTTTTTTTTTTTTCTACCACAAACGTGGCCACACATTTACAATGCTAACCAGCATATATACATTTTCTTCTGTCCTCCTTGGACAGGGTTAGAGATGTGTTAAACATATAGTTCAAGGGTAAAAGGTACCTGGGAGTTACAGCTGCTACAGGCTGCTTCTTGGGAATGTGTAACAAAAAGGAGGCCTGGTCGAGGATAGGGCCGCGGGGATACTTAGCGCCGAAATAATCTCAAGATAACCTCAAAGCCCCAGGAGGTCGAACCCAATGATCGCGAGAGCGGCGGAAGGAGAGTCCCTGAAGGAACCAGAACAGCCGCCGAAACCAGACCTAACCCAGTGAATAAACCAGAACGGCGAAGTTCAGACTCCCGCACAGCTGCTTGAGCAACTGACGAGTGAACTCAAACGAGGAAGGGTCCATTATCGAGGCACAATCGGGGTCACACAGGAGGTACGCTACAAGGGCCTCCCAAACCTCCTTATGCGGGATGTGGGAAGCCGAAAACCTCTGGAAGGATGGGACTGAAAAGCCCAAGGGAACCCAGAACCGAATCCGGGGAGGGGGGGTTAAGAAAACCCTTACCCCTGCAACAAGCAGCTCCGTGTCGAGGGCACCAACTCCAAAGTAGGGTTAAATGGGGCCCAAGCCCCACGAGTCAACTCCTTCCCAGCCCTGGGATCCTCCATGCCAGGACCCAGGGCAGAGCCATCTTCCAAACCTTCCGCCCCTGAAGAAAAGACAGATTCCACCGGAAAAGCTCAGAAAAGTGGGATCTGCTGGTCAGAATCTGACGCCCCAGCTGGAGAAGCAGGCTCGAATACTTCTGTCGCTGAACTGAGTGGTGCAGCCCCCAAGACCGCCCGAGTCTCACCACCATCAAAACCCTGTCCCCACCCCGAAATCCTCAGATGTTTGGGAAGCGGGGGAGGGGGGATTGGGAGCAGGACAAACAACAGGTTAAGAACGAGAGAGCTCGGAAGAAACCAAAGTTGAAGTGACTAACGCCCCCAAATCCGTGTCCCTATAACCAAAGGAAAGCAGCTGCTGGGCATTTGGAAAGGCAACCAACCTAGCGCGTTGCAGCAACTGAAACCTTGCATGCAATGCCGAAGCCTCTTGCACCCGATTATCAGTATCAGTGGACTGGGTGAATTGGAGCATCGGGAAGGAACACCACTTGCTGGACTCCGGGTCAAAGGTGTCATCAACCCAACAGATAGCATGATTGAGGCAAACTCGGTGAATGTCACCCTGAGACGAGGGGCCAGAGCAATCCTTGAACTCACACAAGGCGAGATGGCAACCAGAGGATTCATCCATTGGTCCAATGAGCCCCAATGGGGTTTTCCAGGGCCCTTAGGCTGACTGCTAAGTGAATCCCATGCAAGGTACTGCTAACAGGTTGGCCTAAACTACTGAGAGAAAAATTAAAGCTGAACCCCCTGCGACATATATAATCACAGGGACCTAGCGGGGGACCACCAGAATAACAGAGGGGGGGACAATGACCTTGTGGCAGACTCCCTTCCCTCCCACCAGGCGACAAACAAAAAGAAAGGAAAACCCTGCAAAAGTACTACGTCCCCAGGAGGAACAGAAATGGCCGCTGTGGTAATAGGTGACAAGCTGCACAGTACCTTACATGGTGACACAGTAGTATCCCAGTGATGATACTACCTCCTACCCAAGGCCAAACAATGGCTATGAAAATCCCAGCTGACCCCAAGGGCGAGCAATCACTGAGCAGCAAAAGAACCCTACAGAGTAGTCCCTGAACGACTTGTGGAAGATAACCCTAAGTCACAAGGGCAGTATTTACAAGGCACCTAGGGAAGATGGCCCCTTTTGCATGCAGCCCCAGTACTCCATGAATTACTCCTGGCTTGCACACCACCACACAGCAGAACACTGGCGCCAAGGCACAGCACTGCAAAGAGACAGGAGCCAGAGTCGAACGACTGCCACTCAACACATCAGCCTCAGAACTGGGTTGGATGGCTGGCGTGAGGGTCAGGGGCTTCCCCTACCCCCTTCCGGGAATGGGGGGGGGGGAGCTGCGCAGACAGCAGCGGTTGTGACATCATGCTTGTATGCTTATTTTTGGATTGGGAGTTCTGCTTGATAATTCGGCTTTTGGTAGCAAATTTTAACCAGGTGGTGTTTGTTTTGGCGCTCCTACCTTTCTGGGTGCCTGACCTGGTCGATGGCAGACATGCACCTAACCACACGGGAGTTTCAACAGGCCATTGCTCCTCGTGCCTCTTCTGAGGGGGCCAGATTCTGGCTCGTGGTCCCTAGTAGGCATAGAACTCCAATCGAATTGACTGATGCAATGGTCTAGTACGTTCATATCAGCCCGGTAAGCTCCAGAGAGCCTCCAGGACTCGCCCAGAAAATATCGTTTCATTACATTCCATGCTGTTTTTTTAGTGTAATATATGAGTGAGGTGATATTATCCACAATAAATTGGGCTGTGATTCAAGTTCAGTACATCTAGTTTAGCTGAATCTTTCAGATTGTTTTTTAAGACTGGGATTTTATTCACAATATTTGAAGGAAGACCAACACTTTGAACACTGTGAGATGATCCTTATGATAGATGAATTTAGAAGTAATAAATACTATCACTTTTAATTCAGACTTGCTTCAACTGCATAAGTTACATTCTCAGGGACAGCTGTAACTTTACGGTGAATACAATGGTAATAAAACTAAAAGCACATTGTGGCATGGCCCTAACACTGAGAAATGTTAATGCTGGCTAAACTAATGGTATTTGTGCTATTGAAGTGTTGTAGTGTTCACGAATGCAGTTAATTATATACTATTTCATTAGGAAAAATTAGGGCTCATTAATTCTGCACAGTAAAAAGATGTAACGTGTAAACGTTGAGAGTACAATGTGAGTGTGATTGCAGCATATCTCCTGATCCACGCCAGAGACACACCATATGGAGCTTGGGTATCGGTGGGTGCTTCACATACTGCTCTCTCTATGGGGTCAACCAAGCTCAGGTCCAGAGACTTCTCACTGTTAAGTAAGTAACAACTATAATACAGTGGTATCTCACTATACTATACTATACAACTTTAATCATTTCCAAAAAGTGCATATTACCCAAATATTCGTACACTGAATCAAATTTTTCCATGAGAAATAATGGAAATTGAACTAATCTGTTACACTCATCCAAAAATATTAACTAAAAAATACATTTTGTACAAATTACTTGTATTTTTTCACACAAAACAACCGGGAGTAAATATAAACCATAAATAAACATTTAACTGCACTTTACCATTATTGAGGACCCTTGTTGGTGTATGGTAGATAGTGAGGGGGGGGGGGATGAGGAGAGGTGTAGGTAATTATCTAAGTGTAATTACCTAAGTGTAGTTACAGGATGAGAGCTACGCTCGTGGTGTCCCGTCTTCCCAGCGCTCTTTGTCATATAGCACTTTGAAATTACAATACTGACGGTTTTGGCCTCCACCACCTTCTCACCTAACTTGTTCCAACCATCTACCACTCTGTTTACAAAAGTGAATTTTCTTATATTTCTCCGGCAGCTTTGTTTCACAAGTTAAAATCTATGACCTCTTGTTCTTGAAGTTCCGGGTTTCAGGAATTCTTCCCTATCAATTTTATTGATTCCTGTTACTATTATGTACATAGTGATCATATCGTCTCTTTTTCTTCTATCTTCTAGTTTTGGCATATTTAATGCCTCTAACCTCTCCTCGTAGCTCTTGCCCTTCAGTTCTGGGAGCCACTTAGTGGCATGTTGTTGCACCTTTTCCAGTTTGTTGATGTGCTTCTTAAGATATGGGCATCTTGAGGTTATCTTGAGATGATTTCGGGGCTTTTTTAGTGTCCCCCGCGGCCCGGTCCTCGACCAGGCCTCCACCCCCAGGAAGCAGCCCGTGACAGCTGACTAACACCCAGGTACCTATTTTACTGCTAGGTAACAGGGGCATAGGGTGAAAAGAACTCTGCCCATTGTTTCTCGCCGGCGCCTGAGATCGAACCCAGGACCACAGGATCACAAGTCCAGTGTGCTGTCCGCTCGGCCGACCGGCTCCCTGGCACCATACAACCGGCACCATACAACCGCTGCATATTCCAGCTTTGGTCTATCAAAAGTTGTGAACAATTTCTTTTGTATTTCTCCATCCATGTATTTAAAAGCAATTCTGAAATTAGAAAGTGTAGCATAGGTTCCTCGCACAATGTTGTTAATGTGGTCCTCAGGTGACAGTTTTCTATCTAGAACCACCCCTAGATCCTTTTCTTTGTCAGAATTCTTTAAAGATTTCTCACATAATTTATAGGTTGTGTGGGGTCTATGTTTTCCTATTCCACATTCCATAACATGGCATTTATTCACATTAAATTTCATTTGCCAAGTGTTGCTCCATATACTTATTTTGTTCAGGTCTTCTTGAAGGGCATGACAATCATCTAGGTTTCTTATCTTCCCTATTATCTTAGCATCATCAGCAAACATGTTCATATAATTCTGTATTCCAACTGGTAGATCATTTATGTAGACAATGAACATTACCAGTGCAAGAACTGAACCCTGTGGTACTCCACTTGTGACATTCCTCCAATCCGATACATTGCCTCTCAGGAAATTTTTCATCCATGCTAGAATTTTACCTGTCACCCCTCCAATATGTTCCAGTTTCCAGAACAACCTCTTATTTGGAACTCTGTTGAAAGTCTTTTTTAGGTCCAGATAGATGCAGTCAACCCAACCATCTCTTTCCTGTAATATCTCTATGGCTTGATCATAGAAACTGAGTAAATTCGTTACACAGGATCTTCCAGATCGAAAACCATACTGTCTGTCTGATATTATATCATTTTTCTGCAGGTGTTCTACCCATTTAGTTTTAATTATTTTGATGTATATGGTTTATGTGTATGGTAGATGGTGAGAGGTGGGATGGGGGGGGGAAGAGAGGTGGTGGTGTATGGTAGATGGTGAGGAGGGGGTGGAGGAGGAGAGGTGGTGTTGTATGGTAGATGGTGAGGAGGGGGTGGAGGAGGAGAGGTGGTGTTGTATGGTAGATGGTGAGGAGGGGGGGAGGAGGAGAGGTGGTGTTGTATGGTAGATGGTGAGGAGGGGGGTGGAGGAGGAGAGGTGGTGTTGTATGGTGAGGAGGAGGGCAGAGGAGAGGTGTTGGTGTATGGAAGCTGGTGAGGAGGGGAAAGGAAGAGAGGTAATCACCTGGTTGTACTCACCTACTTGTGCTTGCAGGGGTTGAACTCTGGCTCTTTGGTCCCGCCTCTCAACTGTCAATCAACTAGAGTTCTGGTTCCTTTGGGGCTACCCCTTCCGTGATCACTTGATTCATCCACTAGGGGCTTTGTGTCGGTTGCAGCGTCTCTGGCTTCCTCGCTCGATGTGTTCACTGATGCCTCGTCTCTCGGTTGGGCTTTGTGATCAGCGCTTACCAAGTCGGCCTGGGATGGTGAAGTCCGTCGGGCTCACAGCACAGTGTGGGAGTTTGCAACAGTGTGGCTTTCGCTGCAGCGGATTCGGCTTGCTCGAGGTTCTACGATCCAGCTCCATTTGGTCTGCGGCCCTGTTGTTCATTGCCTGAACCGTGGGGGGGTCTCTTCAGTCCTTGGCTCTTTGGGGTTGGTTGTTTCGAGGGGCTCTTCTGCTGAGTTCTCAGGGTTTAGCTCTCCGCACGGTTCACATCTGGGGTGTGTCCAATGTCCTGGAAAACGGTCTGTCTCGGTTCATTCCCTGGTCCACAGAATGGACGGTCACCGCAGACTCCTTCAGTTGGCATTGCCAAGGGTTCAGGCGACCGGAGGTGGACCTCTTCGCATTCTTGTGGTCGAGGCATCTCCCAGTATATGTGGCGCCCTGCCCCGACCATCGCGGTAGATGCTTTTTTGGCAGGACTGGTCGAGGTGGGGTTACTTGAACCTCTTCCCACCAGTCCAGCTGTTGCTTAGGATTCTGGCTTGACTGGAGTCCTATCGGGAAAGGGATCTCCTTCTGGCCCTACAGTGGCCGGCCCAGCCTTGGTTTCAGACGCTGCTTGCTCAGTGTCCGAACCCAGGGCATTTTCCGTGGCTCAGCCTCTTTCAAGAGATTGAGCTGGTGAGTTTCCTTGCTGGTTTGATCTATTCTGCTCTTCGCATCTGGTATTTCTATCACTCAGTCTTGTTGAGCAATCTCAGCAAGATAGCTTCATGGAGCCACTGTGGCTTCTCCGGAAAGAAATGTTTCATTACATTCAATGCTAGATTTTTAGACTTGTTATACTGTATTAATATTTAAAATGTAATTTTAATTTCTGGTTAAAAGTAGATTTATAGCAGTTAATGAATGCTTTTACTGTGCCTTAGAAACCTTCATCAAGCTCGAGCTTCACTGTGGATCCAATGGCCAATCCTGACTCTTCTAAGTCTCTCTACATCATTTGCTGGGCTGGTTCTTTATGCTCAGTATCACACCTGTGACCCGATAAAGAATGGTCGTATTGCCGACTCTGACCAGGTACTGTATTAACTTCACCTTTAGCACTAAATGTTCTTGACTTACTTACTAGCTGTGGATGGTGTAAAACATTTTGGCATTAAGCCCATAAATAAAATATACAATATATAAATTTGTTATGTAGAGAAGCAAAAGGTACTGAATCTCATTGATACTACTCATCTATGTTCATACTTCCTTATCTAATAAGCTTTTTTCTGGGGGGAGCCCCTTCGGTTTCCCGGAGCTATCCGGCTGATACGGATGTATAAGCTTTGGGCATCAGTCAATGTACATGGAGTTCTAGGCGTACCAGGGACAACGAGCCAGAACCTGACCACCCCTCAGAGAGGCGTGAGGAGTAGTGGACTATAGAGACAACTTATATATGGTTTAGAAGTACTCTGTGTCTGCCATTGACTGGGTCGGGCACCCAGAAAGATAGGTCGCCCCAAAACATTCCCCAGTTCTGGTGAAGAAATGCTACCAAATGGCGAAGTAGAGGATAGAACTCTCCATGAAGAAAAACGATCAAACGAGCATGACATCATCTCGTTACCAACGCGCCGCCATCTGCGCACCTCCCCCCCCCCCCTCCTCCTCCCTGGGAGGGGAAAGGTGGAGCCCCAGACCCCTGCCGGCTACCCGAGCTTATCAGTTCTTGGTTGATGTCGGTGGGGTTCGGTCGTGTACCTCCAGCTCCGGCTTTTCTTCTCTGTTTTTGTTTCGGTGGTGTGCGAGCTGGAAGTATATTCACTAGTACTCGGGCAGCATGCGCTTAGGAGTCCCCTTCCTTAAGTGCCCAGTAAGTACTGCCCTTGGGGCTTGGGGGTCTCCTTCCATAAGTCGCCTTGGGAGCTACCTCCGTTGTCAATTACTGCTTGATACTTGTCCGCTCTTTGAGTCAGCTGGGGGAGGGGGTTGCTCTTCTGTCTCTGGGTAGGGGGTAGTATTCGTCACTGGTAGAGGCGCAGGGTACTTGCACGTCTAGTTTTCACCTTTCATAGCGGCCGGCTTTGCATCCTTTGGGTACGCTGCCCTTTTGTGTTTTTTTCTTTGTTTTTTTTCGTTCCTCGCCTTGGCGAGGAAGCTTTGGAGGATGATTCGGCCCCGGGTCCTGGTGTGGAGGTTCCCGGGGTTGGGGTGTCGGCATCTCCCCTGGTACAGTTCCATGTCCCTTCGAGTCTGTCGGTTCTGCCCTTCCTGTGGCACATTTTACCTGCTTTATCCTTCGATCCTACTTCAACTGGATCCTATATAGTCAATGGGGCCCATGTGAGCCTACGTGGCTTTGCGTATGATTCTCAAGGGTCTGGAAGGTTCGAGACGGACTTCCTTACTTTCATACTATTAGAATGTCTGTTACTTCCGGTGGGGATTGCCTCCCATATTTTATAAGAATCACTGGTACTCTTCAGTATTACTATTCTTTCAGTACTATATCTAATTCACTTATGAACACATCTTCTCTATATATATGGACATTGTGGGCTCCCCTCCCTGAATGCAGGGAGGGACCACCCAGCTCGGACCTCCGGTGTCCTGAGAATGGCCCAGGAGTGTTCGTTTTGTTTATGGACAGTGTAATTACCTAAGTGTAATTACCTAAGTGTAGTTACAGGATGAGAGCTACGCTCGTGGTGTCCCGTCTTCCCAGCACTCTTTGTCATATAACGCTTTGAAACTACTGACGGTCTTGGCCTCCACCACCTTCTCACTTAACTTGTTCCAACCGTCTACCACTCTATTTGCGAAGGTGAATTTTCTTATATTTCTTCGGCATCTGTGTTTAGCTAGTTTAAATCTATGACCTCTTGTTCTTGAAATTCCAGGTCTCAGGAAGTCTTCCCTGTCGATTTTATCAATTCCTGTTACTATATTGTATGTAGTGATCATATCACCTCTTTTTCTTCTGTCTTCTAGTTTTGGCATATTTAATGCTTCTAACCTCTCCTCGTAGCTCTTGCCCTTCAGTTCTGGGAGCCACTTAGTAGCATGTCTTTGCACCTTTTCCAGTTTGTTGATGTGCTTCTTAAGATATGGGCACCACACAACAGCTGCATATTCTAGCTTTGGCCTAACAAAAGTCATGAACAATTTCTTTAGTATATCGCCATCCATGTATTTAAATGCAATTCTGAAGTTAGAAAGCATAGCATAGGCTCCTTGCACAATATTCTTTATGTGGTCCTCAGGTGATAGTTTTCTATCTAGAACCACTCCTAGATCTCTTTCTTTATCAGAATTCTTTAAAGATTTCTCACATAATATATAGGTTGTGTGGGGTCTATGTTCTCCTATTCCACATTCCATAACATGACATTTATTAACATTAAATTCCATTTGCCAAGTGGTGCTCCATATACTTATTTTGTCCAGGTCTTCTTGAAGGGCATGACAGTCATCTAAATTTCTTATCCTTCCTATTATCTTAGCATCATCAGCAAACATGTTCATATAATTCTGTATACCAACTGGTAGATCATTTATGTACACAATAAACATCACTGGTGCAAGAACTGAACCCTGTGGTACTCCACTTGTGACATTTCTCCATTCTGATACATTGCCTCTGATTACTGCCCTCATTTTTCTATCAGTCAGAAAATTTTTCATCCATGATAGAAGCTTACCTGTCACCCCTCCAATATTTTCCAGTTTCCAGAACAACCTCTTATGTGGAACTCTGTCGAAAGCCTTTTTTAGGTCCAGATAGATGCAGTCAACCCAACCATCTCTTTCCTGTAATATCTCTGTGGCTCGATCATAGAAACTTAGTAAATTCGATACGCAGGATCTTCCAGATCGAAAACCATACTGTCTGTCTGATATTATATCATTTCTCTCTAGGTGTTCTACCCATTTAGTTTTGATTAGTTTTTCCAATACTTTCACTATTACACTTGTCAATGATACAGGTCTATAATTGAGGGGGTCTTCCCTGCTGCCACTTTTGTAGATTGGAACTATGTTACCTTGTTTCCACCCGTCTGCTACGATTCCTGTACACAGGGATGCCTGAAAGATCAGGTGAAGTGGAATGCTGAGCTCAGATGCACATTCTCTCAGAACCCATGGTGAAACGCCATCTGGGCCAGCTGCTTTGTTCTTACCGAGCTCTTTGAGCATTTTTTCCACTTCGTCTCTAGACACCTCTATGTGTTCTATGTTGTTCTCTGGAATTCTTATTGTATCTGGTTCCCTAAAGATTTCATTTTGTACAAACACACTTTGGAACTTTTCGTTTAGTGTTTCACACATTTCCTTTTCATCTTCCGTGAATCTATTTCCCATTTTCAACCTCTGAATATTATCCTTTACCTGCAATTTGTTGTTTATGAATTTATAGAATAGACCTGGTTCTGTTTTACATTTGTCCGCAATCCCTTTTTCAAAATTTCTTTCTGCCTCTCTCCTCACTGCCGTGTAGTTGTTTCTCGCATCTTTGTATCGCTGGTATGTTTGGGGGTTCGGCCTCTTCCTGTATTGATTCCATTTTTGTGTCTTTCGGTCTCTAGCCCTCTCGCAATTTCTATTGAACCAATCCTGTTTCCTAGTTCTGCATCTCTGTTTTGGTATAAATTTTTTTGTGCCTTTATCATATATTTCACAAAACTTGCCATACATCTCATTCACTTCCTTGCCTAGCATCAAGTCTGTCCAATTATACTCACTAAAAAAATTTCTAAGGTCACCATAATGTCCTCTCCTGAAGTCTGGTTTTTCAACTGCTTCAACCTCCTTATTTTCTTCCAGCTTATAACGCATTGCATACTTTATTCCCAAAAAGACATGGTCACTTTTACCCAAGGGAGGAAGGTACTGAATGTCAAATATCTCTTCCTCCTTCCTGGTAAATATCAAATCTAGCATGGAGGGAACGTCCCCTTCCCTCATCCTCGTAGCTTGTTTAACATGTTGATACAGTGTCAACGAGTGTTGGTGTTAGGCAACCTTTATCACAGGACATACGCTGCACAACCTACTCTTATATCTCCAGTTATGGCTGCCTGGATACTGGGGGAGTTTGGACTGTATTTCTAGGGTACATTCCTTGTACTTTTATCTAACTTAGGGTGTGGCGTGGCTCGTATTGACGCCGCTTCCACCTCTACTCCACTCATCTTATCCTCCTGCAATCGCACCTATGGTCGTATTTACCTAGCCGTGCTGCCGGCATCTTGCCCAGCAATGCTGTGTCTAAACAATGTACTGCTTTCGCTCTCCAAGTGCTTATACAGTCTGGCTACGCCTTCAGCCAGGCTCCAGTTCTCGTCTTTTGGATGAGTGTTGGGTATTGTTTGTGGTATGTTGTTTGGCCGCTTTGCATGCAGCACATTGGGGGTTAAGAGTGTACATAGCATTGATGATTACATTCTTGCTGGCCACTGGCGCGTGGCATTTCGGGCAAGTACTTGATCTTACAGATACTTTTAAGTACGTAATTTCCTGCAATATTAACGAACGCCTGTATCTTTTCTGGACTCTGGACACTCGTTCATTGCCAGTCCTTCACTGCAGTCTGACCACTCATTCATTGGCCGTCATTCAATGCCCGACTGACCCCCTTTCATATACCTTGGCATCTATACGTTTTGTATACCTTTTATATACTGTGCATCTTAATGTAACCTTACTATGTCCGTATTTATTGTAAAGGGCTGACGCACCTTACGAGAACCTAAGTGGAGCACAAGGCGAACCCTGCGCCGACCAGAAACAGACAGAACCAAAGGCTGAGCTCTTCCCGAATCTGGCACCACTGGCCTACTACGACGGAAGGAACCCTGAGCCCTAGCACAACCTTTATGGGAAGGTTCCCCACGAGCCCCCCCCCCAGAGCACCAACAAGTCCGACATAGGCCGACAACTAACCTCCTTCTTCTAGCCTTCTACCTAGAAGGTAGCCTTCTGCAGATACTGCACCACCGCAGACTCTGTAAACAGCAACAGACAAAAAGGCGAGGACAACCTAAGAGCCAGGGCCCATGCGGATTCCAAGGAAGAAGCAAGCACCACATGCTGCCACGCGAGGCGAGAAGCAAATAACAGCATCCCGCAGGAACGATGCGAACAGCTTCAACAAGGCAGACGATGCCTGCACCACTGAGGGCAGCGCACCCGACCAAGTGGTGGCCCCAAGCACCCACACATCCAACTCAAGCCAATTCGAGGACAGTTCAAGGAGGGAAAAGAAATGCAAGGCCAAAGCCAGCAGGCCACGAGTACGCAAATCCTGTAAAATCTCTGTGGCTTGATCATAGAAACTGGGTAAATTCGTTACACAGGATCTTCCAGATCGAAAACCATACTGTCTGTCTGATATTATATCGTTTCTCTCCAGGTGTTCTACCCATTTAGTTTTAATTATTTTTTCCAATATTTTGACTTACACTTGTCAATGATACAGGTCTATAATAATAATCTAATAGTAGGTACAGAGTCATGGTAGTGTTGTGGTTGTCTCTGTGGTACCAGAGTCATGGTAGTGTTGTGGTTGTCTCTGTGGTACCAGAGTCATGGTAGTGTTGTGGTTGTCTGTGTGGTACCAGAGTAATGGTAGTGTTGTGGTTGTCTCTGTGGTACCAGAGTCATGGTAGTGTTGTGGTACCAGAGTCATGGTAGTGTTGTGGTTGTGCCTGTGGTACCAGAGTGGTAATGGTAGTGTTGTGGTTGTCTGTGTGGTACCAGAGTCATGGTAGTGTTGTGGTTGTCTCTGTGGTACCAGAGTCATGGTAGTGTTGTGGTACCAGAGTCATGGTAGTGTTGTGGTACCAGAGTCATGGTAGTGTTGTGGTACCAGAGTCATGGTAGTGTTGTGGTTGTCTCTGTGGTACCAGAGTCATGGTAGTGTTGTGGTTGTCTCTGTGGTACCAGAGTCATGGTAGTGTTGTGGTTGTCTCTGTGGTACAGTACCAGAGTCATGGTAGTGTTGTGGTACCAGAGTCATGGTAGTGTTGTGGTACCAGAGTCATGGTAGTGTTGTGGTACCAGAGTCATGGTAGTGTTGTGGTACCAGAGTCATGGTAGTGTTGTGGTACCAGAGTCATGGTAGTGTTGTGGTACCAGAGTCATGGTAGTGTTGTGGTACCAGAGTCATGGTAGTGTTGTGGTACCAGAGTCATGGTAGTGTTGTGGTACCAGAGTCATGGTAGTGTTGTGGTACCAGTCATGGTAGTGTTGTGGTACCAGAGTCATGGTAGTGTTGTGGTACCAGAGTCATGGTAGTGTTGTGGTACCAGAGTCATGGTAGTGTTGTGGTACCAGAGTCATGGTAGTGTTGTGGTACCAGAGTCATGGTAGTGTTGTGGTACCAGAGTCATGGTAGTGTTGTGGTACCAGAGTCATGGTAGTGTTGTGGTTGTCTCTGTGGTACCAGAGTCATGGTAGTGTTGTGGTTGTCTCTGTGGTACCAGAGTCATGGTAGTGTTGTGGTTGTCTCTGTGGTACCAGAGTCATGGTAGTGTTGTGGTTGTCTCTGTGGTACCAGAGTCATGGTAGTGCTGTGCCGGTCTCTGTGGTACCAGTCATGGTAGTGCTGTGCCGGTCTCTGTGGTACCAGAGTCATGGTAGTGCTGTGCCGGTCTCTGTGGTACCAGAGTCATGGTAGTGTTGTGGTTGTCTCTGTGGTACCAGAGTCATGGTAGTGTTGTGGTTGTCTCTGTGGTACCAGAGTCATGGTAGTGTTGTGGCTGTCTCTGTGGTACCAGAGACTGTTCACCAGGGAGCTGCCAAGACCGCTCAGAAAAGGTGTTTCATTACATTCAGTTCTTGACTTTTTCGTTATTATCAATTTGAAATTGAATGAAGACTTTTCAAAGTGTTTAAAGTAATGATGATTTCTCTCTCATGTTTACCAGTTGTTGCCGCTGTATGTGGTGGAGACCATGGGAATGGTGCCGGGCCTCTCGGGACTCTTTGTCTCGGGAATCTTTAGTGGTTCTTTGTCAACAGTGTCGTCCGCTTTAAACTCCCTGGCTGCCGTTACAGTCCAAGACTATATATTGGTGAGCTAACTCAGTGTGAGTTTTGACATATTCATAATTCAATTTGTTGAAATAATTAATAATTAAATTTTAAAGCCTGAACTTCTGTTGGGCTGAAAATAATAATAGGTATTCTTGTCAAAGGATTGCCATATGGTTTGACCTTTCTTTCTGCGAGATCCACTGCAGTAGCCACAGTAGCTCTGTGGCTACTGCAGTGGATCTCAAGTGGAAAGATTGCACATTGGTATTGTCTTGGGATTCACAATAGGCCTCTAAGACCCACGATGGCTTAACTTGAGTCAGGATCAGGTTCTGGCTCACTCTTCGAGGCGATGAATGCTTTAAGTTTAGAGATCTCTTAAAACTGAGAAAACTATCTAGAAAGGTTTGGTGAAGCAAGACAAGCAACTGCTAGAAAAACCCAGCATCATATGTAATGAAACTCCAATTTCTGGCAAAGCCCTGGTGCATCCCTGAACTTATCTTCCTGAGATTGCTTCACACTAAAAGGTCACATCAGATGCAGCTAGTTATGTTTGACCTACCAGGGACCAGAGTCGGAACCTGTTCCACCTCACAGAGGTGCAGAGAGCAGGTGACAATCCACCACCCTACCAGAAAAGGCCTCCAGGAAGTCAGCAAAGCTTTACAAACAACAGGAGAGTGTACAGAAAGTGAAGCCTTGAAAACCAGCAAAACAAACTTCACAAATGAGTTGCACGGAAACAAAGAATTAACTCAAACGAGCTCGAAACTCATCAATCCTAGTTCCCATCACCAGGCTGCCTGGCCCTGGCATCCAGCCAGCTCCCCAAGTCAATTCTGGATCTGATGAACAAACCTATGACAAACGGATTAACCTGGAGGGTGTGTGGAGGCAAGGAGCCACTAGGGCTTCTTCAGAAATTGGTGTTTCATTACATTCAACACTGAGTTTCTGAAGGGAATCCCTTGTGACTTCCTGAAGCTAATCAAACCACAGGGAATAAGAAAGAGATTTACCAGGAAGGAGGATAGGCAGCAGTCACTTAAAATGAAGAGAAACCAGGTTGGGCAATATGACCCAAAGTCTCACACGACTGCCTAGACACAGCATTGGTAACCAAATACTGAGCTGCCAGCGCTGTTAGAACGCCAAAATTCCTGAGCTCAAATATCAGCCCGTAACATATTAGAGATGACAGTTGTCAGAGTCGCATATTTATGAACATCATGGGTAGAGGGTAGACCGCAGGCTGGCTAGACTTGATGACACTAAAGTATTGACAAACTGTGTGGAAAATATCCACTGCGGTGATGAGCAATAAATAATCATTAACTCTTCCACTGTGCATATTATGCATATATGATTATGGCCTAACTGACTCCACGGAGCACATCACATGAATATGTTTTAGAGTATTGTGTAACATTTAAAAGCACTGTGGCTACATGAACATTCACGTTAGCTTTCTCAGGGCTCCAGTAAACAGACCCCAGTTTGAAAATAAATCTGGTCAGCCTTCCTGGGTGTGAAGGCATCAGTACTAAGTGAGCAAACATGACTGGTGAATGTAGCTCGAGCTAACAACACTGCTCTTCAGCTTGTGGCCACAGTATCACTTAAAACTGATGTAATTTATATGTAACTTTCGTTTTGTGATGATAGTATCATAGAAGATCCTGACTGTGTACAGTGTTGAGATATCAGTGCACACAATGCAGTTGATGATGTTCACAGTGCTAGGAAGGCAGCCACAGCACACTGCCATTGTTTGATCCATTTAAGCATCTTGAAACGAGAGCTCATGTTCCTTTATAAAGCAAACTTGTAGAAAATTATTAATTTACAGAATTTAGTGACCAGGATTCTGATAATAGCAGCATTGTGTCTAGAAGTAAGGATATTCATAATATGTTGGGAGGAGGAATTTTGCCGAGTGAGGTTGTCACCCGCTAACGGGCGTGTGGTGGCATTATGGTGTTTGGACTCGGCAGACAAACTTAGCAGTTCATTATGGTGCACAAAATATAAATAGTTATATGTAATGTGTATATACTATAGTGTAATAATGGCGAAAACAGTATGTTTTATTGTTCAAAGAATATAATATTTAACTGATATTGGTGACACAAATATATCTGTATGTGTATCGATATTCTACACATTCTGTGATACAGTACTAATGATATTATTGACAGCCCAAAACAACATTGCATTTCAAAAATCCATGGTAAAAATTTCAGAATATGAAGAAAATATAATACTGTATATTCAACGTATGCTGTTAGAATTTAGTGCAAAATATGTCTAACTAGGCTGAACACTGATAACCAGTTAGGAGATTATTACACTTGCCAGAAATGCTTAATGTTTTGTAAAGGTGCATGACAATGTAGATACAGTAGCTATATAAATATACAGTGGAACCTCGGTTGCCAAATGCCCCTCTTTACAAATTTTTTGGTATACGAGCTCAATTTCTTCGTAAAATTTGACTAGGTATTCGAGGTTTGCCTCGCTTCTCGAGTTGATACACATATGGGTTGACCGAGCGCGTGGTTATGGTGGCATGGGAGAGGCGTGGCTCAGTTTACTAGTGTGTCCCTCCTAGTGACGATCGTGTTTGAATTCTTTGTGAAGAATTTCATTGTTTTGTGCTTTTCTGGAGGGAGCCCCTGCAGCTCCCAGGAGCTATCCAGGCTGATATGGATATATTAGACTTTGGCATCAGTCAATGTGCATGGAGTTCTGGGCCTACTGGGGATCAAGAACCAGTACCTGGCCCCCTCAGAGAGGCATGAGGAACAATGGCCTACAGAACCCCCGTATGGTTGGAAGCGTTCTATATCTGCCGTCGACCGGGTCAAGCACCCAGAAAGGTAAGCGCCCCAAAACAAACCCCTATTCTGGTTAAAATATTGCTACTGAAAGTCTGAGTAATGGCCATTATGAGCTGATCCTTGGGGTCAGCTTAGGTCTCGGTGCTTTTGTTTGGCTTTGGGTAGAGAGTGGTTGTTGCTGGTTGGGACGCACAGAGCTACACAGCTTGCATAACAGCAGCAGCAGTGACACTCTCTGGCCTTCTGTTGTTGCGGAGATTCTTTGTGGTTCTTTTCCTGCTTTCAGTGTTTTTTATTGCCTGGTGGAGTGCTGCCTGGTTTCCTATTATGTACACCTAGGTTTCGTGGGGCAGTCTTCCTTCTAGTCCCCGAGGTTGCTCACCTCAGAGGCCAGTTTATCTGGTAAACAAACGGGGTTACAACTAGCTTTAGCCGTACCAGTGCCTGGGTTTCCTGTAGGGACACATTCCCTGGAAACCCCCGTCGGGGCTTTGTTGACTAATGGATGTGTCCTCCGACTCCCATCTCGCCTTGTGCAAGTTTGAGGGTTGTTCGCTGCCCTTGTCTCAGGGTGACAGTCACGTGTTTCGTCTCCATCATGCTGCTTGTTGGGTCGACGACACCTTTGACCTGGAGTCTTGTGAGACTTGTTCTCTGTTTGTTCTTCATTTTACCCACTCTACTTTAACTGCAAATAGGGGTCAAGCAGCTTGCTTGCTTGTTGCATGCTATGTTTAGCTTGCTGCAGCGTGCTAGGTTGGTTGCCCGCTCGAATGCCCCGGGGCTGCCCCGTTTTGGTTTTAGGGACCTGGACTTTGGGGCAATAGTTGCTTTGACCTTGGTTCAGTCTGTGCTCCTTTATCCTCCCCTTTGTTGGTGTGGTACACCCTTCTCTTTACCCCCTGCTGCCAGCTCCCAAATGTCTGAAGGTTTCAGAGTCAGAGCAGGGTTTAGCTGGGAATAAAACCCCGGGCGGTTCCGGGGTTTGCTCCATTCCATGCGGAGACGGAGGCATTTGAGACAATTTCTCCCGCAGAGGCTTCTGGGTCCTTTCTGTGAGCCCCCCCCCCCCTGGGAGGGGGGGAAGCCTGACAGCTGAGCGGACAGCGCTCGGGATTCGTAATCCTAAGGTTCCAGATTTGATCCCTGGTGGAGACGGAAACAAATGGGCAGAATTTCTTTCACCTTTGCTCCTATTCACCTAGTACTAAATAGGTACCTGGGAGTTAGACAGCTGCTATAGGCTGCTTCCTGGGGATGTGTAACAAAAAGGAGGCTTGGTCGAGGACCGGGCCGCAAGGATACTAAGCCTCGAAATTATCTCAAGTTTACCTAAAGAAACCCCCTTCTTTGATGCCTTTACCCCTGGACTCTGCCTTTTCTTCAAGAGTGAAGGGCATTAGGTATGGCTCAGCCTCGGAGCGTTGTTTGGAGGAGTCCAGGGCTGAGGGGGGGGGGGTAGTTCGCCTGGGACGCTTGGAGCCCCTGTTGATCCTGCCTGGGCTTTGGTGCTTTTGGGACGGGGTCTGTTGTTGCAAGGTTCGGGGTTTTTGTATCCCCTTCCTTGTACGAATTTGATAAGGGTTCGGCTTCACCTCAGGTTTGTTTCGGGTTCCTTTGGGTTCTGCGGCTTCGTCCTTCTGGAGGTTTTGTACCTCTCGGATTTTCCCTGCAGATAATTGGGAGGCCCTCGGTTCCTATCTTATGCAAGACCTGAATTTTGCCTCTGTGATGGACCCAATTTCTTTTGAGTTTGGATCTTCTTCCCATATTGGATGCATTATGAGGTTCCAGCATCTTCCTGGCTTGTGGACTGCCATTTCTTTTCACTTTGGGTGTGGCACACGTTTTGTCGTACTCGCATGCTGGAGTGGCGAGAGCTCGCTACGGTGTTGCAGGTTTATTTAGTGGACACTTTTGAGCACCTTAATGCATGCCTTAATGTCCCTGTGCTTCCTCGTGAGGAAGTACAGTTGCTCCAGTTGCATGCCCAGGTTCCTTCTTTTTCAGCTGCTTAGGTTGTGGAGGATCTTCATGTTCACGGGCATTTGGCCTCAATCCTCCGCTTCCTTTCCCTTCTCGAGCTTTCCTTTTCCTTCTCCTCGCTCTTTCTGTTGATTCTACTTGGATCCTGGCTCTTAGGTTTTCATCTCCGTTTTGTCTGCTGTTGTTTGCGGACTTGGTTGTCACCCAGTTTTGCAGAGGGCTTCTGTTAGTTGCTGCCCTCTTTCGGATTTGTTGGCTATCCGAGGGTGTGCACTCTCGTGTCTCCCGGAAGGGTGTACCAGGACTCATGTTTCTGCTGGTCGAGGTGGGCCCCTTGGTGCCAGTTTGAGTCAGTGCCTGCTCCGGAACTGTCTTTTTCTGGTTGACGTGGTGCTTGCTTTGCATGCAAGTCGGTTTCTTGGAAGGGCCGCTGGCCCTTTCGCCCTGTTGGTAGAGTGCAGGGAGGGGGAGGGGGGGGGGGGAGGCCGGCTCTGTTTGCCCATGCTTCGTCCCACAATTTGTGGGCGTTTCAAGTCGTGTCTTCCGGCCTGTGGTGGTACTGAGCAGCAGCAGGTCTTCCAGGGGGTTCTGGGCTTTTGGGGGAGGCTTCTTTCCCTTTGCTTTGTCAGGTCATCTTGGAGTGGGTACGCTCGGGCATGGTCGAAACGACCTCATCCCTCAAGTGGGTTTCTCGTTTGTTTCCAGTGCCAAAACAGGACTGTGCAGATCTGTGTATCATTCTGGCCTTGTCCTATCTGAATCCCTGGATTCCTTGCCCCTCCTTTCGGATGATCATTCTGTCCTAGGTCCGGCTTCTCTTAGAGCTGGGTTTGTGGATGGCATCTCTGGACGTCAGGGACTGGTTAGGTTTTGTGGTGGGGGGAAGGCTTACCGCTGTTGTTACCTACCTTTCGAGCTGAATCTGGCAGCTTGCGTTTTTGCGCTTCTTACCAGGGTTGTGGTGGCCTGTCTGTGTCTGCTTGGTGTTCGGGTTTTGGCCTACCTCAATTACTGTTTGGTTTGGGATCCCAGCCAGTCCGCTTGTCTGCTCACTAGGTATTTGGTTCTTTCCCAGCTCGCCATGTTCGGGTTCCTGGTGAAATGGAGGAAGTCCCATTCAGACTTTGCTGGGCCTTGTCTGTGATTCCCGAACAGCGTCCTAGTCTCTCCCTCAGGCGGCCTTGCTCTGGGTGCGGTCCCGTCTTCTTGTCTATGTATAGGCCAAGGAACTTTCCATCATTTTTAATGCCAATGTTAACATTGTCTGTCTGAAGTTGAATTTGGTTTGATTTACTTCCAAATAAAATGTAGTAGGTCTTTTCTATGTTTAGTGTGAGTTATGTTAAGATGATATATGTTAACATGTTACAAGTTGAAGGGACAACCATAAAACGAGGTGAGGAAAGGAAGACCAACATCCAGTCAAGAGACCAGGACAGCTCTGGAGGAGCGCAAGTTGGCTTGAAGTGAAAAAACAAACGAGACAACTTGTGGGATGGTATTGAGGAAGAGTCGATGCCATTTGCAAACAACAGCGACTCCACTAATCCCTAGTGATGTAATCACTTATTTGACATGAGATGCCACTCTAGAAACAATCAAGACAAAAATAGACAGGTTGGAGAACCTCATGCTCTCCTCCAGAGACATGGGTTCTATTCTACTGGCCCTGAAGGGTGGCAGCCTTCTCCTTTTCTGATAAAGAATTAGACGGTCAGATTCTAGAAGGGTCTCTTGGCGATTCATACTTGATTTATCCTGCTGGGGGTGCATCATTTATTGTCTGGTTGTGGCAGTTCATCATTACCTGTGGGCCACCTATTCTACTTCAGTGGATGGACCCAATTTCCTTAATTCCCTGTTCCAAGACACGTTTATTCCTGGTTATCTGCAATATCATTAAATCTAGCCAACCTGTGGGGAATTTAAACCCTCAGTCTTATGATCACAAGTTCATATGCTTGGCAGCTAGGTTCACTAACATCACATTGACTGATATTTGGGCTTGGCATGGATTTGGAGGTCTAGCAGGGTCTTGGCTACTCATTATCTTGTCAATGTGTCCTACCCGGGTGCTGACAACAGCGACTTTGCTGAGGGGGCCTGACAGCTGAGTGGACAGCGCTCGGGATTTGAAGTCCTGGGGTTCCAGGTTCGATCCCGGGTGGAGGCGGAAACATATGGGCAGAGTTTCTTTCACTCACCCTGAAGTTCCTGTTCACCTAGCAGTAAATAGGTACCTGGGAGTTAGACAGCTGCTACGGGCTGCTTCCTGGGGGTGTGTAACAAAAAGGAGGCCTGGTCGAGGACCGGGCCGCGAGAACGCTAAGCCCCAAAATCATCTCAAGATAACCTGAAGATACCCGGGACCCGGAGCCAGAGCTAGGGCCTAGCGGCTCTGTGAGAGGAGGGGCCGGGTTCTGGCTCTGATCCCGGGTAGGACTCTAGAACTCTACAGCTGATGTAACCAAGTAGATGGTAACCATTTCAACGTATAACTTCTGGGAGCCACTGAGGCTCACCCAGAAATTGGCATTTCATTACATTCACTGCTGGGTTTTTAATTGTTTAATTTTACACAGAATTTTGCCATTATAAAGTACAGTGGTACCCTAATTTATGACCTTAATCCGTTCCCAGAGACAGTTCATAAACCAAAAATTCGTAAACTGAAACAAATTTTCTAATAAGAAATAATGTAAATTGAATTAATCCGTTACACCCCCAAAAATATGAATTTAAAACTACCTTTTATATATACTACTACTTATATTTTGTATTACAGTATGTACAAGTATATCTTACCTTTAATGAGGCCCTTATTGGCATATGAAAGACAGTGAGGCAGGGTGGGGAGGAGAGGTGTTAGTGTTTGGAAGGGGAGTTCCCTTCCATTATAACATCAGGCAGTGATGACTCCGAGGTACACTCTCTCTCTCTTACATTTTGCCTGCATACCACTAGGACCTGGTTGTGGCTCACTGCTTGTTTGTCTTATTAAGAATCTGTCTAAAGACACTTGTTTCTCCCTACGTTTTAACACTTGTCTGTAGTATGACATCACATTGTCATTAAAAAGGTCAATGCAACGGCCTGCTACAGCTTTATTTGGGTGAGTTTTTTCTGCAAAACTTTGTAGTTCTTCCCATACTTCACACATTTTCTGAATGAGGAAGGGACATCCTCTACTGCCTCTATTCGCAACTATTTTCTTACGTTGAACTTTATCACTAACTTTCTTGGGACACATGGCATTATATATAATAATTACTTTTATGTTCAGAAATAACAAAAGCACAAAAACAATTCAATTCTTCACAAAGAATTCAAGCGTGATCGTTACTGTGCAGGAGGCACTGGTAAACTGAAGTGCGCCTCGCCCGTGCCACCAGGAATCACGTGCTTGGTCCACCCATACGTGTATCAACAAACTCTCCAAGCGAAGCAAAACTTGTATACCTAGTCAAATTTTACAAAGAAATTGAGCTCGTAATCCAAAAAGTTTGTAAAGATTGGCATTCGTCAACCGAGGTTCCACAGTATAATAATTTATAATATATGTGTCCATTGTTTACTTATTTAAACAAAAATATTGCAGCCATTTCTTCCTAGCCGCTTTGGAATAAGGGAAAAACAAGCAACAAAGATGTGCAAAGTTATAGCGTGTGTGTATGGTGTGGTGTGCATGGCTATAGCCTTCCTCACTCAGCTGGTGGGAACAGGAGTCCTGCAGGCATCACTCACAATCTTTGGTGCCGTCGGGGGACCTCTGCTCTCCCTTTTCACAATGGGCATGCTCTTCAAGGGTTCTAATGAAAAGGTTAAATACCATTCTTTTTGTAATCTTTATATTGTACATTGTGTTAAATATCATAGATCATTTCATCATTTTGAATTTATTTTGAAGCAACTTCATTCATTGATCTACTAATTGCTTGTTTCATATGTCTGTGTGAGGATTTTCTATATATGATGAAATTGGTATTCAAGGTTGTGTTATATTAAAGATTTCTTTCTCATACAGGGTGCCATGACTGGACTTATCACAGGGCTAATTATTACATTATGGATTGGTTTTGGACGTCCAAAACCAATACCTCCATTTAAACCTGTTTCAACTGCGGGATGCCCAACACTGAACACTACTTTGGTTTTGCTTGCACACCTCCCAGAAGCAACTTTGAAAAGTGTTGACAACTTGACTTTTATAGAGAGTATAGGAAATATATCAGTGCCCAATACATTGGACTTGGATGTAGTAATACCACCTATGGACAGAGTAGAATCAACATCATTGTCACCCGCCCACATAACTCCTGTTGCTCCAGATACACAAAGGTCAGTTTATATCTTTGGTGACAGTATTATACAAATAATAATAATAATAATAAATCAAACAGAATATTGAATGAAATAAAATACACCTATAAGAGTGAGCCTCTTCAGTATCTCCTGGAGCTAAGCTCTGGTCTCGGTAAGCAATAGGGAGATGGGCCAGTTCCTGGCCTTCCCAAAGCCAGGAATAGAATTTGGTTCTTGCCATGAAGAAAGGGGGACTGAGGCTTATAAATTAATACAAAACTGAAAAAAAACACCAAAAAGAATTAGCAAAACAAAACGGAATCTAAAGTGTAATAGTCGACAAAGTTGTTCCAGTGCTTTGTTTTCATGAACCAAACAGTTGTGTTGTATTGTTTCATCTGCTCTCTTGGTGAGAATGATTGTAACAATCCCTGCTGAATACAAAACTGTAAAAACACCAAAAAGCATAAGCAAAACAAAACAGGCATCTGTTTGAAGAAAATTAATTTAAAAGAGGAGCAGTTCTCTTCAACTTTCATCCAGGTTTATTTCCATTCTTTCTCTATTTCAGGGGCCTTCCTTCATTTTTTTCTCCTTATCAGACTCCAAGACATTGGAGTCTTTCCACAACTGGTTGCTGGGGGGGGGGAATTTTATCAGCATTGCACCACTGGCTTCACCCTTCCAACTCCATGTGTGGCATTTCAGGGGGCTTCTCCATGTGATCTTGTGCTTTCTATGGCAGTCTTGTCAGGAATATGTCTTTTCTGGGGTAACCCAGTGGCTTCCTGAAGCTTTGTTGCTTAAATGGCTTCCCAATACTTAGCAACATCAGTCCTGTAAGACTTATTGACCTACAGGAAGCAGGGATTGTTACAATCATCCTCATGATAATATTGTATAATCAGCATCTTTACTACACTATCTGAAAATCCATAAGGATTGTTACTGGGAATGTCTACAACGTATAACTTGGCTGAAATAAAGTATTATGTTTATCACCATTCCTGCTTCATAATAACACACAATAATGAATGAGTCCAAATCTGTGGCATTTGGAAGGGATATACTGCTTAAAAAGTAAGACATCCATTAAAAGAACAAGCCATTCTCAATCACCACCTTTAGACCTGGTACATAAATATCTTTGCATTTTTCATTCAGTTCACTGAACATGTGCCTCACTTTACTTTCCACAGTCCATAATTTGCAATCACATTATCACTGTTCTCAAAGTGAAGATACCTGATAATTAGAAGGTACCTGTTGCGAGACATGTCTCTCCTGAAAATTGGCATTGGAACAAGGCTGTCTGTTCCAATAATCCCAGAATAATAATAATATTTTATTCGGGAAAAGTACGTACATAGATGCAGAGTTACAAACATACTGTTGGATTAATAGAGCTAGTACATACAATACCTAAAGCCACTAATATGCGTAGTGTTTCGGGCAATGAATGAATGTTTTATTGCCATACATAGGGCAAGAAATATATACAGTTCAGCTACAGTTATGTCTTTCCAATGCTGCAAATGGGAATTAGGTGACATGCCCTCGTTTTCAGAAAGTTTTACCATATACCCGTTAGTTTTCAGAATGATATGTTTCACTAACGGTTCATCAAAAATATCTTGTAAAATATTCACTTAAACATATCCTCACAAGTATATGGGATAATATCTGTAACACCTTCATCTGTATCATTAAATGTAGGTATTTGTGGAACAACGTTGGCACCATCATCCCACAGGAGTACACCCATGTTGCTTGCAGTGCCACCTCCACCACAGGCATGAATCCCACCTCCAACACTATATTGTCTAGAAGATGAAGCTCTTCTAACATGCACAGGGTGGGCACATACAGTTGAACTTGAAGCCAATCTTCCCTCACTTTCCCGATGTGATGTCACACACCAGCATTTTACAGGATGAGGTGCTGACTCGGCAGACATGTGCCTAGTTACACCACAAGGGCCGCTATCACCAGCCACGGCACTGCTTCTGCATCAGAACATGGTCACTAAATCCAGAAAATAAGTCTGGAGTAATGCCTTACAGTAACCATTAATACAGTAATGCATTAAATATATCACGGCAAAATAGAGCATAACACATTGGGTATAAATTGAATTAGTTTAGATTTAGGAAAGACCTGGGTAAATACTGGTTTGGAAACAGGGTTGTTGATTTGTGGAACAGATTACCAGGTAACATAATAGATGTGGGATCACTGGATTGTTTCAAGCATAGGCTAGAATATATATATAAAATGAGCTTGGGTAAATATAAGTAGGAGCTGCCATGAATGGGCCAATATGCCTTCTGTAGTTTCCTTAATTTTTATGTTCGGATAAATCCAGTTACTCAACAAAATTCTCTTGTGAATGAACTAAACTACATCAAAGTAATCATATAAACATCCAAGGACAACATTGGAGTCTTTGACCACAAGCTGTTTTATCGGCAACACATGAGGTCTAGCGCTGACAGATCTGGGTGGGACTGCCATCTGCCAGCCTTGTAAAGCTCGCTTAACTTTTAAAAAAAAATTATTTTGTAAAAAAATTGATTTTGGCAGCCCGGCAAGGAGGTTGGCAGGACGGAAGACAGGCTGGCAGTATGGCAGGGAGATTGGCAGAATGGGAGGCAGGCTGGCAGTATGGCAGGCAGGACGAGAGACAGGCCAACAGGGCAGCGGGCAAGCAGGATGGCAGGCAGGCCAGTAGAACGGCAGGCAGGCCAGCAGAACGGCAGGCAGGCCAGCAGAACGGCAGGCAGGACAGGAAAATGGCAGGCAGGACAGGAAAACGGCAGTGGATCTGGCAGAATGGCAGGCAGGCCAGTAGAACGGCAGGCAGGCCAGCAGAACGGCAGGCAGGCCAGCAGAACGGCAGGCAGGCCAGCAGAACGGCAGGCAGGACAGGAAAATGGCAGGCAGGACAGGAAAACGGCAGTGGATCTGGCAGAATGGCAGGCACGATCGCAGGCAGGCAGAATGGCAGGCAGACCTGCAGGATGGCCAGCAGGTGGTCCAACAGGGAGGTCGGTGAGCAGGCCATCAGGATGGCAGACAAGCCTGCAGGATGGCAGACAAGCCTGCAGGATGGCAAACAGGCCTGCAGGATGGCAGGCAGTCCAGCATAACAGCAGGCAAGACAGGATAACCGCATGGGGGGCCGGTAGGATGGCAGGCAGGCCAGCATGACGTGAGGACTGGAGGCAGGATGGGAGGATGACGGCATGACAGGGAAGGCAGCCTTGTGGTTAAAGGGTCAGTAACTACAAGGCTAAACACAATACCATGGTTGTGTGCAGGCCTTGAGTATATGATAGGGAAACTGTTATACAAAGTAGCCTGGCCACTATAAGGTGCATGTCTGAAGAAGTACTTTGGGACCTGAGGACAGGTTGCATTTGCTGTTGTTAAAAGTTCAGTGGCTACTGTTATGGCTGTCCTGCACACTCTTACGTTGGATGGTGATGTTAAAAGTTCACTGGTATGGCTGGTGTTCCTTCTGCCATTTCCTGTCCCTTCATCGTTGTTCTTCAGTTTTTGAGCCGGTTGTTTTGTCCTTTCTTTCATGCCCGTTTTGCTGATCAGCATCTAATGCCGAATACTGCTTGTTATCGTGCGGTGTTGGCGGAGCCACTCCAGCTTGATTCAAAGTTGACACGTCTTCGGCTCCATTTTGCAAGCGCTCTAGTACATTGTTTCATCTCCAGACTGCACATGCACCACCTAAACCTGCCTGGTCTCTGAACCAGGTTATTTTTTCTTATCTGCTTGTTTTTATCATTTTAATCATTTTATGGTAGTCCATGATTGTTTCTTGAAGGCAGTGTTTTTGCTTTCTTTGGCCTCCCTGTGTCGGGAGGGTGAGCTTCATACTCTTCTCCGGGGCCAGGAATTTTGTTCCTTTGGCCCTGGTGGGCACTTTGTTCAGTTGCAGTCGACTCCTTTTATGGCAAAGAATGAATCTGCTGGCTTCTGGAGGGGTCCTTTAGTCGTGGATTCATGGTTGGTCCGGCTAAGAGTGCATCATGCACTTTGTCTGGTGGTGGCTTTATGCTGCTACCTTCGTGCCATTGATTCTGCTCCTATGGACTCTTTGTGGGTTGATCCAGTTTCCAGGGTTCCCTGTTCCAGGGCTTGTATTTCTTAGGTCATCATCGGTGTCATTAAATCTAGCCAGCATGTGGTCTAGCCTCATTGCCATGATGTCCACAAGTATGCCGCTCTGACAGGCATGTATGCCGATATGTCTTGGGCCAATATTCGGGGCTTTGGCAGTCAAACAGGGTCTTGGTGGCCAGGTATCTCGTGAACGTTCCTGGTCCTGAGTGGCCTTGGGTGTCTTTGGGTCATGTGTCATGGCCGATGGTCGTTTCCTCAATCTGATACCTGCAGCTCTGCTTGCTCCCTGATAAGTGCCCTTTTTTTTTCCTTTTCTGTGAGTAGTTAGATTTAGGGAGCCACAGGGGGCTTCCCCTAGAAAACCTGCATGGAAAGTAATGCAATTGGCACAATTTCTGGGCGAGCCCCAGTGGTTCCCCGACACCCCACTTTCTCCCAGGGTATCGGGGTGTTTCTATCATCGTAAGATGTGGTGGAAGCAGCTGGCTGGGCTGGCCTGCCTCCCTCCTCCTCACAAATGGAGGGGGGGGGGGGGGAAGATGGTGTGTTTTAGCACGCACCATTTTCATGATTTTTCAATGATTAGTTTTTGTACATTGTTGGGGGGAGTTCTTTTGGCAGTTTTCAGGCGATGGTCTCATTCTAACCATACAGTGGCCTGTTTTGTTTCGCTGACTTTCTGGGTACATTTCCTGGTGGGGCAGACATTAATAACTTTAAATATAAGGTGTTCATAGTGCCACCACTCCCTGAGCTTCTCTGAGGGGACCAGGTTCTGACTCATGGTCCCTGGAAGGCTAATAAGAACTCCGCGACTAATGGCACCTTGTAGTATGACACCAAATAAATATAATAGCTTCAGGATGCCACCATGGCTCACCCAGAAATTGGCATTTCATTACAATCACTGCTGGTTTTTATCTTTTTGGCTCACTGTGATGTGACCTCTGGTGTGTTCATATACATGCAAGTACAGTAAATCCTTAGCTGTACTTGAGGGGTTAAATCTATGATTTTTGATAATTGATTTTGACATTTATACAGTACAGTACAGGAAGAGTAAAGGAAGAACAGAAAAAAAGTATGATGTTGATTTAATTTATTGGTAAATACTTTGTGAGACTTTGCTATTGCTACTGTATTCTCGGATTTAATATCCTTATTTTTGCAGGACTGCGTTCTTGCAGGAGTTGTACGCTGTATCGTACATGTGGATAGCGGCAATTGGGTTCTTTGTAACTCTAGTGGTGGGTATGGTTGTCAGTCGAGCCACGGGAGGAAATGACATTCTGGACCAAGACTTGTATGCTTCTTGGGTTCTTCCACATAGAAAAAATATGGCAGCTGAAAACTTATGTTCTGAAAAGGTAAAAGGTAGATTAAACTATGTTCATAGATCATATTTTTCTTGTATTACTGCTTGTAACAATGTTCCATTTAACTGTGGAGGCAAGACAATGAAACTGGCTGATGATGAAGTGGCTATTGTCCTTTAGAATTATATCCAATATTTACAGTTGAATAAATAAATTAACTTATTTAAATCACTAAAATACTCATAATCTGTTTATAGGATTTCCGGGACTTACTAATCGTCGATGGCACCCTGTACCACATCTTAGTTCTGCTACTCAAATAATCTAATGTCTAATAATTAACAAAATATAATGTTGATTTCTGAGCATGGTTCTTTTGGTAGGCCCCACAGATATTTTAGGCCTGACCAGATAACGACTCTTCATCCCAGAAGAACAAGTCAACAATACAAATGGTCTTGTCTTCTTAGTAACCCATTTGCTGTAATATGTAGCTACAGTTGTTTGGCAAACAAAATGATGCATTGAATATTATGAAATGGTCTTTTATGGTGGGCTATTCAGTAACCCTGAGTAATTTCTTATGGCAGTGGGGCTGCCAAGCCATAGGGAATTGTTCCAGGACTCTTGACTCCTATTCTTGCCTATGGAAGCCACAACCAGAATCTGGTTCCCTCTATAAGGTGAGGGACCTTTGAGAATCTGAGATCTTTCCAAAATCAAGAAAACTCCTACCAGAAAGTATACAAGCATCAAAACAAACAACAACTTGAGAGGAGATAGTAACCTTGAGGAAAAAGGCAAACAATTGTTGTTGCAAGATAAACACCCTAACTGTGATGCACTCGACCACATTGTAGCCATGAGAAAGACATTGACATAAATGTCTACAACCTGACCAATATGAGAAGGAATTGGATGGGAAAAAACCGATTTAAAGGTATGAACACCAACCTCATTCCAGGCACAAGGCATCCACCACAACCTACAAATTATGTAAAAAAGCATTAAAAATATTCTGATAGAGATCTAGGGGGGTGACATTTTGACTTTCAAAGACACACTACACTACACAATTTGTTCATTTGACTTTCAAGACCATAGAGCTGGTAAGTAGGGGGCAGAATGCTGGGGCGAGGGTACAAAAAACTTGAGCAGGGAGCAGGACACAAGTAGTAGGTGGGGGATACAGCTCGGTGGCCCAACTACCGTGGATGAGACTTGCAGCTGATGTTGTAAATCGGTGGATGGATGGGGTCTTCATGGTTGCTTGGCTGTCAGGTTTGTGGCCTATTGTGCAAGATGATGCCTGACATCATCTTGCACAATAGGCCATGCAATGGTGCTAGTTTGGTTCTTTCATGATCATTGCCTTTTCAAGAAATTCAGTTTGTCAATCTGAATACTTTCTGTTGAAGTCTCGGTCGCTGTATTCCTCAATATGATGAGGTCGCTGAAGGAGTGTATGGCATGGATGAACATGGGGTATGGGTATTTGTTGGCGGTCTTCATGCTGATTATCATGTTGCATTTGTGGGCCCATTTGTCACCTAGTGCTTACATTGCCACTGAACCCGCTGGCCCCAATGTCGAAGGCATAGCACCTTTGAAGGCACATAGAAAACACCTTTGCCATTGTTGTCGGATTTGACGTTAGTCACTTTGATCCCCTCGTTGCCGACAATGGCTTTGGAGGGCTCCCAGTGGGTGGTCTGTCTTCGTCGTCAGATGTGGAGTCGTCGTCCTCATTGGAGGGGGCAGCCATTACCCCCCAATTGCTGGGTTGGAAGTAGAGCTTGTTATGGGGTCGGCCACCAGGCCGGTAGCAGCTATGGGAGCTGGGAGGAGGTCGCTGGGTACTACAACAGTCAGTAGTCCATTAGCGATGAGCAGTCAGTTGGTGTGAACGGAGAGGTTGATGTCAGTACCTGCCAGTTCGTTGGCTTGGTGTAGCAGAACAAGTAGCAGGATGCTGTTGGTGGAGGCTGTAGACTTGGCCGGTGGGGGTGTGGGCAGCGGTAGTGAGGTCAGCTGGGTGTGGCTTTCCCAGGGGCCAGACAGATGAGAGGTGGCTGTAGCCTCAGGTGTATTCCCGGGCATGGCCAGGAACTCAGACTGAGGCAGAATGACTGGCTGCGGTGTGGTGGAGGTAGTGCTTGCCATCATCTTTATAAATTCTTCCTACCATTGGGGACAGTCAGGCAAGACTGCAATGTGCGTGCCATTGCAGAATTGGCAGTGTCAGTGGGAAGATGTACAGGCCATGTAATGATGCTCCTGAGCACAGACACTGTATTGCATTTCTAGCAGAGCAGAGCTCCGTATACCTAAATGGGACTTTCCTCAGTTGACCAAAAATCTAAAAATCAGAGTTTGCCCCACTCAACCCAACCATTCCAAGAACTTCAAGTGGATGTAAACATGCCAATAGGTATCCCGAAGATCCAGGGAAAGAGAGCAAAGATTGTCTTAAAATGAACTGGCAAACCTAGGACATGGAATGTGGTACAATGAATGTACTGATTGAGAACCAATACATCCAGAATGATGCGAGGGTCCACAGTATCTCACTTGAAAACAGAGAAAAAATAGGGCTCCCTCTGCAAGGTTGCAATTACTGTGAACATACCTTTGTCCATAAAATAGTGAATGACATTACAGAGTAGAAAGTTGAGGAGGTCCTTGAGACAAGCGGGTGGGGTGGGAAGGAACTAAACCCACTGACAGTCCAGCAACACCACTCGATATGCACAGGCATCCTAGGATAAGGCTTTCTGTAAGGCACTCAAACATACCCCCTCCTCTCCCACTAGTCCATCACAAGTGCTACTAAATGTGTGGCACAATGGTGGAACCATTGCACCTGAGTCTAGGAGTCCAAGGAACATAGACACCAGACCTAAGCTGCATCAGAAATACCCACTTTAAGTGGCTGGAATACCATACCCACTGCTAGCAAAACCTGTGAAACCTTCCCTTCCAGGAAAGGGAGAAGAGAAAACTGGTTAGGGAACAGGAGGGAAGGCAACCAAGCAGACCAAGGAGAGAGAGACTCCAGAACAGCCAGCTGGCAAGCATGGCGAGCTGCACAGCACAGAAATAGAATCCACAACTGCATCAGCAGACCACAAGGCTGAAGACAAGGAGTCCTATGCCAGCCAGATGTGCACCTTAATGTCTACTGCAGCTCTGTGGCCATGACCCTTGGGTGCCTGGACATGGAGCTGCACAACTCTGAATCCAATAAACAGTGTGTGAGTGGTCACCACAAGTGCAATCTGCCCACCTTCTTTCCTCAAGAACAAATTTAAATTGGGATTCACTTCCTGCCATTCAAGTTAGTCACTTGTTTAAAGAAAACAAAAGGATTGTCTGCCATTCAGGAGGCTGAAGATGACTTGTACACAAAAGAGTTGGGGGGTCCATCAAAGACACCTGATCTTGGTCTTAGACCAGTATCAAAGCAAGTTTGTTTACCATTCCTAGGAAAAAGACGTGATGACAGAAGCTTGTGCAACAGTCGTGTATACAAGCCTCAAACTGGACCAGAAATGATCCACTGGGGAGTGGAGGAGGCATCCAGCCTATACTGAGATGAGGGATAAGAAAATCCATCCTGACCACCTAATAAACCTTCTGGGATGGGCACCAAATATCAACTGTGGTCCCTCCCGGCAACCCCACATCCCCAGAACTGCTCCCCCCCCCCTCCCCCAGCAATAAATAGGAAAAGCATGGAACAGAGGCTACACATCCCCCAGAGCCTTACACTTGCAAAGGCAGAGAAAGAGCATCGGCAGGAAAAAACCCGAATCCTAAGATGCTGAAATTGAGGTACTATACATATCCTGTAAATAAGAAGGAAAAAGTGTTGAATGTAATGAAACGCCTCTTTCTGGCCCCCTTCCCGCTCAGCTCGTTGTCGCCGTGTGGGGGCTTAGTGGACGGCTGCCGGAGTGTGATGCTCCTTAGGTCAGTCCTCTGTCCTTTTCTAGCCTTGTGCTCCTGCTGCCGTCCTCTCCAATTCTGCTGGGCATCTTTTCCTTTTCCTTCTGTTTCGTTTTTCTCCCCCCTCTTCTCCTATCTGCTTGCCGTTTCCTGCCGACCTTTTGCTCGTTCTGGTTCTTCCCTTGGACTTCTTCTATTTTGACGCCCGGGTGCTTGAGGAGGCATACTCTTGCACCCGTAGAACTGTAGTACCCGACGTCGAGAGCGAGGGGAACCTTTTATTGTTAACACTTTCGCGTTCCACAGACTGAATAATTCGTCATTTATTTTTCTACTGAATGTGTTCCAACGACGCAATACTGCGTCACTCATTACAATATTTTTTAAAAATTTAAATTTTATCAGATCAATCTGGTAGTGGTTTTAAAATAAGCGCCTTTAGATTGCACACAATTTGATACCAAAATCAAAGATATAACATGAAACTTGATGTCCAAACACTTGAAATATTATAAATAGGTCTATGGTCTGAATATTAAAATATTTGTTAAAATTCTATTTATTGTCCTATTATCTTGGGACTTGTTTTAAAATGTGCGCCTTTTTATTGCGAACAATTTGATACCAAAATGAAAGATGTAACACAAATATTTATGTCAGAACACTGGAAAGATATAAATAAATTTGTGATGATTAGCGTCCAGAATTAAAATATTTGTTAAAAATCCAGTTATTGCTCTATTATTCTGGGACTAGTTTTAAAATAATCGCCTTTTTATTGCGAACAATTTGATACCAAAACGAGCGACGTAGCACGAAATTTGATGTTATCAAATTGAACGAGTTGAACATTAGGTTGCAATGTACAAAATGGTGCTCTTTCATGGGTAACTTTAGGCTTTTCTGCGGGGAGGCACTCCAGCCTTTTGTACATTTTATTCATACACATCTGTAGGGAATTTAATTGCGAACACAATGATACCAAAATGAGCGACGTAGCACGAGAATTAAGGTAAAAAAATGGAACGAGAATGCACATGTTACTGATTTTGTGCGTTTTTGCCGACTTTACGCTTTGCTGTTGGGAGTCACGCTAGGCTTTT